GCATACTATCTATCTATAGAAGTAGACACGCTTAAAATTTCTGGGTCTAATGTTCAAACATATCTTTGTCCAATGTTAAAATATTTTGCTACATTCTGCAATAATAAATTGAGTTTGATTTCTCTTCTCCTGTAATTGTAACTTTTAATTGTAACTGTTAAACCTTTAACTTTAATTGTACCTAATTCCCTTTAGTGTCCATTTTTAAAAGTTTTTTTAAAGAATTCAAAGCAAAAGCGTTTTCCCTTTATCATTAATTTAAAAAAATGAAGTCCTTAATTTGTATTTAAAACTCATTTCACTGGGGATACAAAGAAACTCATCCAGTGCTATAAAACGTGCAGATCCAAAGATTCCTAATGGCTGAAAAGCACTTAAAAACAATTTCTGAAAGTGGTTAGAAAAGGAAGCATGCAAACCTACTGTTCTTTTAAATGTCTCAACTGTGGTTTGAGCAACATGACTATTCCTTCATCTCCCAGAGCTCTTTTAGCTGTCATTGCCTTGCAGTCTGCTGTTTTGAAGTCTCCTCCTGAGGAGCAATTGTCTGGAGTACTTGTGGGCAATCTCAGTTTGTCTCTTTGTCTCAAAAGGAATTATGGAGAACTGGTCTGTTTTATAAAATGCTGGACAAACAATTGGAGCATTGTTTGCCCACTGAACATTTGTGAATTACAGACTACAGGTAGTCCTCAATTTATGACCACAACAGAGCCCAAATTTTCCATTGTTACGGTAGACATTTGTTAAATGAGTTTTGCCCCATTTTACAACCTTTCTTGCCACAGCTGTTAAGTTAATCGCGGCAGTTCTTAAGTAACAGAGTTAAGCGAATCTGGCTTCCCCATTGATTTTGCTTGTCAGAATTTCGCAAAAGGTGATCACATGTGATCCCAGGACATTATAAACATTATAAATATAAGTCAGTTGCCAAGCATTTGGATTTTGATCACATGACCATGGGGGGGGTGCTGCAGTGGTCGTAACTATGAAAAACCGTCATAAATCACTTTCTTCAATGCCATTGTAACTTTGAATGCCACTAAGTAAACTGTTTTCAGTGGAGGACTCTTTCTATCTTTATTAAAATATCCACAGCCTGAGGACAGATATAAACCAACCTCAAGGAATGTTCCACAAAGGCAAGGAGCTTAATGCTAAGAGTTGGTTCAAGACTGGCACTGAACCTAAAGTGTGTGCTACAGGAACAAAATTATTTATGATTAAATAAAGTACACAATTAGCAACTGTGTGTAGCAAGTCATACAGTATTTGTTATGTGGGAAGTCAGCCCCCCCCCCGAGAAAGAAATATTTTTGGAAATATTTAAAAGACAGAATATATTTTCCTAAAGGATTTAAAGGCAGAAACCAACCCCTCTCCCCAAGTCACTCTGTCCCAAACAGACACTAAGTCTGCAGAAATGCAGGTGACAATCTTGTCAGAAAGACTGGAATCAGGAAACTGGGATTAGGAAAAAAGATCCCTAGAATCAACACCAAAAATCTAAGAGTAATCAGCCACAGACCCAGGGAAGCAGGATATGATCCTTGGGACATAATAGGATTAACCCACCACCATCAGAATACCACAAAGGCACACTCAGGCTCAGGTCAAAGTTCATGCCACAGGAACAATTCCAAACAAAAAGCTCCAGAGGGTATAAAAACTCACTCCCTTCATGTGCTCACACTCTCTTTTTTCTTCCAGAGCCATCTTTCTGTCTGGCTCTCTTCTTCAATAAACTGCAACCTTCTTCCTAAAGCAGTCACCATGTTGTTTATTCCCGGCTTGGACTGAACCATGATGAAGACTTTTCCTTCAACAGTTACATTCCAAGTGGCAAACCATGACTTTTACAAGTACTGTAAGCTCGTAAGATACAGTTTGCCCATTCATATGTAACAGCAGAATATGATCTGAACAAACCAGGAGCTACAATTAAATCGTATTAAATTAAATAAACTGTAATTAAATCTCTCCCTCTCAAAAGAAGAAGAGTCTTCCTACAAGGCCAAATCATTGAGATTACACCCAAGTACGGTAGTAGTAATGCTACAGAGCTTCAGGTTTAGATAGGAAATAAGGTGATCTCATTTAAGTCACAAGGTATGCTAGTGAAACCTTACAAATATTTGAAATGAGCAGCTTTACTATCACAATGATTACACTGTAAGCATCAGAAGACAACTCCCTAACATTCCCCAAAGAACTAAAAAATAATAATAGTAACTCTCTTTCTGTGATCTGCAGTAACAATATTAGCATTGAGCATCCTGGATCCTTTACCCATACCGCCTATTTTCTTGCACACTATAATGCTCCACAAAACTAGCGTATGTCAAATCAGCATTTTTCTGTGTGGAATTTTCCAAAGATGTTTCAAGTGCATTTTAAAGCAGAAGTATATCTGTTATTATGTATAATAACAGGCAAGAATGAGACTTTCCATACTTCTCTGTCAGTTTAACATGATAGCAGGCTGCATACAGATGAAAAACAATATTATCTGTATCCAAAGCCAAGCACATATAACTGCACCCGGTCCATCATTTTACACAAACCTCATTGGAAATGAAGTTCTGCTGAATGTAAGAAAGTTCTGCTTGGAAATAATTAAACAGGCACAAAATGTTAATCACTCTCTTTCTGCCTTTCTTCCAAATCTCCTTCCCCCTCCCACTGGCTGTATTGTTTCACACCAGTATTGGATTTTGGGAGATTGCCAGCTATGTTGTGATATGTACTGGTTATAATCTCACATTAAGAAAGAGAGACCCAGAATGGATTCTCCACTCTACCTTCAGGCTGAGTGAGATCAATCACCAGAGTCTATTTCACAGAGTTTTTGTGATGAAAATGTGACCAAGTGACACCAAGCACATATCATTTTGAGCTCCTCAGGGAAAAGATGGAATCAGGATCCTTCTTTAAAAAGTTACATTCCAAGTGAGAAGCTTTTCCCTTTTATTTACAAAACTCTGAAGCATTACAAAGATAGGCTTAATATGGACAGAAATAGGCTGGTAGAACAGGACAATTTGCAATAGATTTCAAACAATTTCTAACTCCCTATTGTTTAGTAACAGTATCATCTTCCGCTAAGCACAGAAAGATCATGAGTTAGATTGTAAAAGCAAAGATAACTGAATAACAAACTGTGTGGAAACAGAACTGTTAGATGAACTTTGATCCTTGAAAACACATTTCTGAATTGACTGTGTGCCGAGATATTTCTTCATCCTTAATTCCAAGTGGATAGGAGCTTCTATTGTTCTTCTATTTTCTCCATAGATAGATCCCAGTTTTTCCCCCAAAACAAAGTAAACCGTGTAAGCATAATGTCTGACCATTGTTGATGAGCAGACAGCTCCATAAAAGGCAGAATAATCTGAACAGAATTGGATTCCCATTTATCAATTTATCACCAAAAAAAGAAAGCACTCTCATGTCTGATAAGTCAAGAAAGATTTTTTTTTGCCAAAAATAAAAGAAAGTTTGAATATAAAACCCCCCACTAGAGGTATATGCACTGCGGTCATTTGCTTTAAATTCAGTAAGCAGAAATTACTGAAAGCAATATTTGAGAAACCTGTATGCTAATGCAACTGTCTCTTTCTATACCACCATTCACTCCTTGTTCTCCTCTGCATCCTAGCCATCTCCTACTCAACCTCTTATGATCAAGAGCAGTCGGCTTCAGCCTTCAGACCTTTTTTGGTTTTTTTCACCCCTATGGCTTTCCACTTTTGCTATGAATTAATTAAGCATTGTTTCAGATTCTTTAACAGTTCAATCACTAGCCAACTCTTTGGGGGTAAACAATGCATTCCCACCCAAGCTGTCATGCATAAGGAATGTTTATTGCACTAAATGAAGTGATGGCAGGAGCTGGTTAACTGTGGGATTCATCAGGAAATAAACCAGATACTCAAGATGAGAATAAACCCTGAAATGAGGGATATTTGCTATTCTGCAAATGGATTCTGCTTTTCTTGAGAGGATACACTGCAGCTCTAACCAATTGCAGGCATCAGCCTCTGAGGATTCAAGTCCCCAGAGAGAATCCAGTACTACAGACCTATGCAGTAACGTTCTCTTGCCTTATAATGTTTGCAAAGTGAAAAATCTTTTTAAACTGCTTTTTTCTCAGTTTGCTTCTGTAGGCTGCCCCGAGTCGATGGGAATAGGCAACTATCATCATCTTGATCATCTTGTCTGAAGGGTACCTCTCCTACATCCAGCCCAGCTGACCTATCCCAGGGCAGGCATTCAGCTTTCCCTAAGAAACCCAAAGCATGGCGTGGGAAGACAAACCTGGCAGAAAAAAGCCACTACTTTCTTTTCAAAAGGGAGAGACCCAACGTAGCGGATTCTCTGCCAGGACAGCAGCTGCTCTCCAAATCCTCCCCAGCAGTTTAACCTTCCAAGCACATTTTAAGACCAAAAAAAAAAAAAAAAAAATGCCAAGGGAAGTGGAGACTCTCAACAGAGTCACACCTACAGTGCTGGATGGTCAATACAGTCCTGCCTTTGTAAAAATCAGTACTGAAAAAAGAAAAGGGAGAGGGGAAAAAAAAAAAACATCAGGCAGCAGTAAGAACTTCCTGCTTGGCTCGTTAGGAAGTTGCAGCACAGGCACAGGCGAAATGCTCCAATTACAATATTCACTGAGTAGATCTAGCACAGAAAGGAAGGGACCACACAGAAGTTGCAAAAGGGTGGGGAGGGAGATCCTTGAGAGGGCCTTCTCCAAGCTGGTGCCCTTCTCGACGCGCTGGACTGCAATTCCATCATCCTCAGTCAGGACAGCCATCTGCCAGGCTCTTTGTGCCAGTTTAGTCTCCCTCCCCCCCCAGACTGCCCATTGCCCATTGCGAGTGAATCCTGGTCGAAGAACTCCGTCCCCAACAGAGGGGTCCGCTTTCCATTTGAAAACCAGGAACGGCCAGCTCTGCCAACCTCCACCCTGCCCACTCGCCGGAGTTCCCCAGACTCACATAGTGCTTGTTGGGGATTCGCCTCTTCTGCACGTCCAGCACCTTCACCTCCACGATACTCTTCCGGGGCATAGCGTTGGTCGTCTGCCACGCGAACCCCAGAAGCAAAGCAGAAAACAGGGCAAACCTCGGGCTGAAAGGGAGGGGGAAATCGGGGTGAGGGGAGAACCAGAGAGAGAAAGAGAGAGAGAGAGGCGAAAGAGCCCCCTTCTTCGGGAGGGCGGTGGAATCACGGCCCCTACAGAAACGTACAGTACAAACTTTTACGCGCAGCTCGCGGGCAACTTGGATAGGCAGGAGCGAGCCACACCACCCTCGGCGTCTGCTTCCTCTTCCTCCTCCTCCTCCTCCCTCTCTCGCTCTACCTCCTCCAGTCTGTCTCTGTCCAGAGTTTGCAGATGCGGGAGGGACTCCTCCCCGGCCAGTGCTCCTCAGACAATGTGGTTATGTGCTCCAATCCACCAGGGCTCTTAAAGGGACACGAGCCCCGCAGGAAAAGGGAAGCCTTCGCTAACCCAACGGCAACACAAACCAAATGCAACCGACAAGAAAACCCGTCGGGATTTCTTTCCCCCCCATCTCTCTGCGCGCCCCTCCGAGGGCAGCGATCGTTGCAACGAAGAGGAAGAAGGAGAGCGCTCGGAAAGTTGTAGGTCTAAGGCAGAGTGATATACGGGGAGTGGGTTTTTTCTGACCTTCTTCCAAGGTTTTAACCTCCGCTTGACCTTCTCCGCCTTCCCCCCCCCCCCCAAGTGAGCGGAAGAACAGACATTGATTAGCAGCGGTTTGTCTCAGCCTGGAATCAAATCCAACATCGCGCCTTACCTCCCACGGGGAAAAGCAGGCATAAAAGGCTCGAATCAGAAATCTCCGAAACGGCCAGCAAACAAACTCAGGAATCTGCTGCAAAAAAGAGGCCACGTGACTGATTCCTGAGCTGGGACACAGGCGACCTTCGCGCCATCAGAGAAATATCAATAGGGTTCCGCGGTGACTTTTAGAGACTCTGAGCGAACAGCATAGACATTTTAAAATAAGGTGGTTGCCGTTATAAAAAGTTCAGTGCATTCGAGATAAATGAAAAGGATCTCTATCCTTTTCGACATTACATTTTTATTAATTAATGCCCTCAAACAAGTGGCTAATAATGGCATGGAATAACCTTTTCTGACCCAGCCAGCAAACCAAGTTCATTGAAGGTCCATATTCCAGAAAATTTGAATCTCCAATATATCCCAATGTTTATGGCATCAATTTTATTTGAAAAGGATTATCTTTCGTGTGTGTGTGTGTGTGTGTGTGTGTGTGTGTGTGTGTGTTTATGTATATATATATGTGTGTGTGTGTGTGTGTGCAATAAATATATATATTTCTTTGTTCAGTATGTGGCAGAACATTCCGTGCTAACATCGGTCTTATTAGCCACCTACTGACACATCATTGATGGCCCATAACCTACAAGATGTCAAGGTCTTCATCATCAAAATCGATGGATGAACAACATATATGTGTGTATATGTATATATGTGTGTGTATATATGTGTGTATATATATATGTGTGTGTGTATATATGTACATGTATATATATATGTGTATGTGTGTGTAGGTATGTATGTATGTATGTATGTATGCAAAACTCCTGGGAATGGCACACTCTGGGTGCTGAAAATGACCCCTACAATATATATTTTGTGTGTGTGTTACAAATCTGAGGTACACAAGAAATGTGCATGTTGTAATTTTCCATTTCTGCTAAAGAAATAGGCATATAGAGGCACTTAGCTAAGGTATTTTTAGGAAAGGCGATGTAGTAAGCTGGAGGAATAGAGAGAAACTATATACACTGACTTAAAGTATACTTTTAGAATAGTGCACACTATTGTAGAATAGCATATAGCTTAAGAATAACATATTATTCAATTTATATAAGGCTTATCCTTTATAAAAACTTCTTAGAGTTAGTATTTTAAAGTATAACTATGAACCAAAGTGCAGCCATGTTTAACCGAAGTATGAACTCTGTTACACACATAGCTTCTAGATGGAAAGCAGGCATTCTTATGGAAAAACAAGGGAAGACATAAATCCTTTATAATTACAATTATTCAATATGGGTGGCAATACTAGGCTATACCCTTAGTTAGCAGGATGTTACAAATCATGTCACAGAAAAGGGAGTGAAGATAAGACAGGAACAAAAGGGGGCTTTTTTATCTAGTAATTGGAAGGGTCTGGTAATTGTAATGATTGCTAGGTGAGATCGAAAAGCATGTGACTAGGTGGGCCTATCAAATGGGCTCACTTTGGAAGAATGTGGCGTGATGCACTGGACAGGGTATAAAAACCTATGCAAAAATTGATTCAAGTGTGGATTCTGGGATTTGCCATTACCAAGAGTTCCACCACTTTTGCAAAAGCTTTAATAAAACTTGTTTTGTTTTCCAACATCTTTGGAGTTGAAGTTTTATTCCTCACACAAGGGATTTTATAATTTGATCTATTGTTTTTATGCTGTATGCTGCCCTGCTGTCCACACTGATGAACTTAAATATCTTATAAATACATAATATTAAAAAAGTGGCTTTATTTATGGACATTACTTTTTCAGAAGCTTAAAGTTAAGACACTGGTAACCCACTATATTCAGTAGAAGCTGTTGCATGTCACTCAAGTACAGTGATGCTTTAAGCACTCCTCTTTAATAAAGAAAACTATTTGTTGCTCAGAGTTGAAGTGAAGGGTCCTTGGTGCTCTTTGAGCTGGGTTGTTTTCTTGCTGACATTTCATTACCCAAACTAGGTAACATCATCTGTCAAGGTATTGATTTAATAGCTAACCAGCTTATGTAATGTAAGATGTAATGATGGGAATGACTCAGCAGGGTCTGTGTCTCTTTAAGAGCCTTTGTATAAAGGGAAGGCTTTGCTGATGTGTTCTCTCTCTTCTGTTTCCTGCTGTAACTGTGGTTTGTTGGATCCTGCTGTATTAACATGTGTATGTATATTGTTCCTGGTGTATGATATTGTAGATAGTGTAAGATAAACCACCATTTACTATAGACCACTGTTTATTGTGCTTACTCCTGAGTTGTCTCGTGCAATAAGACTGTGCATGCTCTGACATCATCAGTCACTGATGATGTTACTTAGTTTGGGTAATAAAATGTCTGCAAGAAAACAAGCTAGCTCAGAGAGCACCAAGCACTCCTTTTTGGCTGGAAATGTATTCCATTTTTCCATTTATCGAGAGCTGGTTCATATTTGTAACTAGGAACCTCTGCAAGTAGCATCTCAGGGTGAAGTCACCTATCTGGACAATCTGATGACATTTCTGAATTTTTGTTTCACCATTTTAACCTTTGTTTGCACTCCATTCTATTCCTCCTACTACCTTTGCCCTTTATCCAAATCTCAGCATTCCACAAAACTGAATTCCAAAGGGCCAGGTTCTGGATTTTTTTTTTTTTTGTCCACAAAAATCTTCTTGAGCATCTGCAGAAGTGGACATAATTTGTAGCCAATAAACATGGGCTCAATTCCATGACCCAGAGCCCAGGGAAAAAGTTCCTCTGTGTTAGACTGATAACTGCAGAAGAATGAGACTAATTGACCAATGCAACATTTGTAATTGTTCTGTTTTGCTAACTTTTAACAAGGTTGTACAACTTCTCAATATATTAGACTCTCTGAATTTACCTTCCAACTGGGTGATTTACATTTCAGCCTGGGCTATAGTCAGACTCTACATGGAGTTTCTCAAATCTGTTCTGTAGACTTGTTCTCCAGGTCAATGAGAGCTTTATTTTTGTTTTCAGCAGAACTCAGACTGTCTTTTGGGACTTGATTACTTCACTTTATGTGGGAGAAAGCCTTGGTCTGCCAGGCCACAGAGGGAAAATAACGTAAGATGAGGAAGAAAACAGGAAAAAAAACCCTTCATTGTTCATGTGGCCTAAAACCTAGCTAATATTCTGGAGAATATATGATGAAATCACATTATAACTCCACTCTTAACCAGGAGAGTTATTTATCGTCACGTAGCAGAGCAGTTCATGAGTCAGACCTCCCATTTTGTTTCATTTTGTCTAAAACCATGGGCTTAGCAAGGGAAAACTAAGGAAGTTGCTATGCCAACCCAAATTCATGTCTGAGCTGAGCATTTTCTCCATACCAATGGCATTTTAGGCTCCTGAAAGGGCATTCTTAATCTATCTCAAGGAGACTTGTCAAAGTCTCCACCTCACCTGAGTATTCTTAGAGTCCTTGCAGAGGAAGAAAAGAGTAGAAAATGGCAGAGAACATTGGCACTGCCTATGATCAACCATCCTTTGTTTCCTTGAAAGGTCACCAGCCATCACTGTTGAATATGCCCACATGCCTAGAGACATAACTGGGTTCCCAGATAGACAGGATGGCATTGTGGCATCTACTACAGTGGCAGAAGGGCCCAGGGAAAAGGATCATTAGGGGAGGCTCTTATAGAAACAAAGGCAGGTGCAGGAAAAGTCTCCTGCAAGCCAATCTGGACTTCTGGTATTTAATTAATTAATTAAATATTAGAGATAGGAAAAAGCAGCCATTATGGCAGTGGTTGGAACTGCCATAGGTTTTGCATTTGGTCCATAGAATAGACTAATGTATGATTGCTTTCTGTATTGGATGTCCAGAGGTGAAACCCATTCTTTCTTCTTCTATATTTTAAAAAAAAAATTCTTATGCTGATTAATTAGCTTTTCTTTATTTCTCAGGTGGTATTTTTTAAATTAGGTAAAGTCTGCCATAATTTGTAAAATATATTCAATTCTATTATAAAATGATTAATTCTCTTTGATTTGCTTATTTTACCAATGGGGAATAGGCACAGATAATCTGAATGCCACCACAGACAATTTACACTTATATGATTTTCTTTCATGGTGTTTGCATTTCATTTTCAAACAATACTTTCTTGGTTTTTGTTCGCCACTTGGTTAATAAAATATCCTCAAGCAGATTGCAAAACCAAGGCTCAAAACAGAAGCAAACTGCAGTGGAGACATCAAAGATCTGCAATTCTTTGTTTAGTTAGGTTACAGGGAATATGTTATCGCACAACCGAACAGTCCTTATATGTTAAATCTCACTTGTGACACATGTTGCATTCCAGGTAATTGCAGCTGACAATCTTATCTTCTCTAGCTAATAGCAGAGCCTTCTCTAGGTCTCTGGACAGAGCACATGGTGGACCCAGTGGTGGGATTCAAATATGTGAACAACCGGTTCGCTGTGTGGATGCCGCTTCCGGAAGTCCATTCTGGGCCTGGGCAACAAAAAATTAGCTACCGGTTCTGCCTAAGTGGTGCAAACTGGCTGAATCCCACCACTGGGTGGACCTTTTATTTTTCTGAGGCAGCATGAATGTTGTAGATCTGGTAAGTTTGGCAGAGCTCCTGATAAACAGTTCACATCACACCATAAATAATATTTAGCTATCATTTTGTGTTGTTATCGCATCTTCCCAGATTTAGAAAAGTAGACTTCATTTACCATTTTGAGATAGCAACAGGAATTATGGATAAACAAGAAAATTGGAACATGGAAAGTAGACTTCATTTATGCAATTGCTGAGTTGCATTTTAAAATGAATTTAGATTTAGTGCTGGCATATTGCCGCCTTTCAAATTGAT